TTGTGAGCGGAATGACTCTTTTAACCTTAGTATAATTGCAACATGAACGGCACATTTGTGTTTTTCGCCGGATAAATAAACCCTAGGACAAAAAGTGGCAAGTATTTGATAGTCTTGCACTAGATCTAGGAAAAATAAAAGATGGGGACTAAAATTGTCCCTGACAGTAAAGTCGGGGGACCAAAAATGGAAAAAACTCTGATCTTCTTCAGAGAAGTGAAGCAAAAGCGAACCCCATCAACCATTGCATAAAACCAACCATTTGTCTCTATAACTCTTTTACAGTGAGCTCAAAACCTCTTCCAGATTCTTTATCTTCTTCAGTGTTATCGTTCATTTGATTACAACCACATATATCAACCCAACTATATTTAGATTCCGATTTTCAACCTTTTTCTTAACCACCACTTAATACCTACTACTGACTCCATCCCCTAACTGGAATAATGGTCGTAACAAGACGAACAGAGTGAAACTTGAAATCAAGATACAGACCTCGTGTCCCCTGCTTTGGATTAAGCCAAAGTTATTCCGAAGTGGATTGAATCACTGCGACAAAGTAGCAGATCTGCGACGTTATGGATGATGACGCATGACTTTCGTTTATCTCTCCTACGTTCTTCGCTTTCGCAGCCGACAGAAGACTCCTGGAGGTTTCGTCTCTTGCCCTTGCTTCGCTTCTGTGCTTCTTTCGCATCCTGGGTTTTCCAGAAGGACTGCTATGCAATAAACGGATTTTTAATAAAAAATTGAGTTGGATTAAATGACGAATAAAATGATGCCAACAATGAAATGCATCAAAGAAATGTGGATTGTAACTCGTAAAAAATGGCCATGTCATTTGTATAGACGGTCTCTCAAGATGAGGTGAATACATACACATTTAGAATATTATTTACGCTCCAATGGAACCGTCAGTTTAAGGAACTAATTTATCATTGAAATAATGACCTTAATATTACTCTTATAGTTATCATAGACATAAATATGACTCATTTTGGTGTGGATAGAAAAGTGACTAAATTAAATGGAATTAAATGCTTTAATATAATTACCTAAATACAACTTCATTCAAAAATAAACTAAATTCGTAGTACAACTCTCGCCGCCCATCCCCTCAATACGTAGTAGACCTAAATGCATATCCCCTCATCTTTAACGCATAACCATTGGATGAAGCTGCCGCCCTTCACATTTTCTTTCAGATCGGAGCCCCGGATTTGCTGCCGCCAGCACATCCTGCCGTCGCCACTGCTCCACGAACAACATTATTGAAGATCTATTGAGAAAAACACCATTAATGATGGCAGTGCCTATGCAACACCATGTTTCACCCTTGAATCGATTTTGGAGTCCACCTAGGGGCGGATCCAGAAAGTCATAATAATAAGTCAAGTCGTCAACACTTTAAATATTTATCAAAACATCATTTAAGTTGTGCCCTACGCGACTTCAAAGTATAAAATTCATCAATAATAGAATCTACATCTATATTATTGACAAAGTCTCGTTCAATGTAGATCATCAATGAACCTTCAAGAAAATCATCTCCCATTTTGTTACGATGTGTCGTCTCCACCAGTTTGATGATTCACTTTCGAAAAGAATGATGAAATCAACTTCTTTCCCTTCTTGGCAACATGTTCATTATCCATTCTAAAAACCATTTTCAATATTGGTATAAATTAAAATACTTATATAAAAAATATAACTAAGGAAAAAACATTCGGTGTACATAAAACTAATAAGACTTCTCAATTTTCAATTGTATAATAAGTACTACGTAATAATTAAATCATTTTCTACTCTTTGGTTCTATCTTTAATCATTACAAATTTATAATGAACTGAAAACTATTTAATTATGTACCGAAAAAATAAATTGATAATCAAAATGATTGTATGATTCCCTAGCCCTAAAACTCTAAAATGCTAAAAATAATACTACATAATACATTAATAGTTTAATACACAATCAGTCAATCACGGCATAAGTGCATAACACATTCACAAATCAAAATTCAACACCAGGTCAATCAATTGTTCACTAATAAATTGAAAATCTAAAAAATAATTACAACTTACAAATAGAGAATAAGATTTGAGAGTTTACCTGGTCGAGGGAGGGACGCAGAGTCGCAGAGGGCCTGTCGGCCAGAGGAGTCACTGATTGCCGAGTGCCAACTGCAGATTGTGGACGACGACGTCGGCGGAGCTGCTGTTCACGTCTTTGTCGCACATTTGCACTGGTCGCAGGTTCCCGTCATCGACTCATCGTTCTTCACTTCTTTCGCCTTCGCTGCTTCACACTTCTTTCATCGATCGTCGGTTCGCGTAAGGGTCAGGCTAAAGGTGGTATGTGCGTAAGTGATAGATAAGGTAGGTGTTGGGGGCGTTGGGTTGTTTCTATGGGTTGGGCTGGGAATTAACTTTGGGGTGGGTTGATAATTAATTTTGGGGTGTGCTAGGAATTTAAAATATACCTATACTAACAAAACAAAGAATTTTGGGCTGGGCTGAAGCCCACCCCAGGCCATGCTACCATCCGCCCCTGAGTCCACCTATGGTGATGTGTCGGCCGAACACCGCTTGTTCCTGCCATTAGAGACAACAATGTCTCACAACATTTATTCTTCCCCTTCTTAGTTGATATTGGACAACATCAATTTAGGGCTCCAGTGACTCCTCAATACAGTGACTAACGGCGAGAGTCACTGAACAACTTGTCATTGTCGACATAGTCACGAGGTGGGTTATCAGCGGTGGTCACTGGGCGGATAACGGAGGTGGTCACTGGGTGAGTCACTTGCCGACATAGTCACTGCAAGGACTATAAATTCACTGGTCAATGCGTTGAGTCACTGGATATAACTGGGGTGCGAAGTCACTAGGAAACATGTGCGGCGGAGTCATTGGATAGCGGCGACGGTGATTTTAGAGGCAGCGGCGGTGATTGTAGCGGTGGCTTGGCGGCTGGCCAATTGATTTTTTCTTTTTGAGAAAGCTGACTGGTTGATTATGTTTTCATTATAATAAACACAATACTAAAATAATAAATGTAATTTTCAATAGAGAACATGATCGGTCACTTTTTTGGAAAACTCAAAACTTAGTCACAATTTTGTCTTTCTTATTTATTTTAGTAATATTCATAAAAAAGACCTTTACCAATTACACTGTTATTTAGTAATACTACAATTCTTATGGAGCATTGTTTTAATTAATTACTCCCTCCGTCCTGTTGGAAGGTCCCCATAGCAAAATGACACGATTATTTAGACAATAATTAAATAAAGTACTTCGAGCTAGTATATTTTGTGAAATGATTTTAATAGGTATATATTATAATGTAGTTAGTATTGGTAATTGTGATGTTATAAATGTATTATTTTTAATATTTAATGATTAATTTGTCACTTAAGATTGTTAATTGTTTCCTAAAATGGAAATAAGAACCTTCTAACGGGACGTTAAAAAAGGAAAGTCGAAACCCTCTAGAGGGCGGAGGGAGTATTTGTGATAAGCTCGTTGCACGTTTTTTATTAAAATTAAAAAGCTTTTCAGAAGAGATCTCATGAGTCAGAGTATGGGAAGAGCATGTTGAATGTAGAAAGATGAATAGCAGGTGTGCATAGTTTACCATTCCAACTCAACGGCACATAATATATGCACGGTCCAATTGGAGTAACTAAATTTGCCTCAAAATTTCCTTAACTGATGTGGCAATTCATTTTTAAAGAGTCCGCAGCCCCACTACGGATGCTCTTAGCATAGATGCGCCATAAAATTTTCTTTTTTCACCGTAAAACGATAAGGTTTAAGATTGGGTAAAGACCCCTCTGCAAAAAACTTATTTTTAATTAAAAAAACTCAGATGGATGAGAGTATGAGACTACCAATCAAATGTTGTCAAATTTGGAATGCACCCAAACATCCCTCAAAGCACGTGCACCATAAAATTTTCCTTTGATATTTTGATTATATCAGCGTTAAATGTTAAGTTACGGAGTATATATTTTTTAATCATATAATTTATTAACATTTAGATTTGGAAATACTACGGGCCTGTTTACTAACATAAATACTTTCCAGTTTTCTATTTTTGTTTATCGTTCTCCAATTTTCTGTTTTCATTTTCCAGATTTTTTATCTCCTATATTATGTTTTCATTTTTTAGTTTTTTAGTTTCAAATCCGAAAACATGTTCATCAAATTGTTTTCGTCCGGTCGTGTGACCGACCTGAAGACCGTAAGTACAATCCCATTCCTAAATCAAATCTAGTGCAATTCAAGTAGGGTACTAGCCTACTAGGTCCCACGTATAGGAAAGTCAGGACCGAAACTAGCCGGTCCCAATCGATCTCAACGGCTAGTTTGACGATTTCTTTTCTTATGGATTGACAACTCAACGGTGCTTTTAAAACTCTTCACTTTAAGAAATGACTTCAAAAACCGAGACTGAATCTTTGGGTCATTGATCGGCCCCGCCACGGACCGCTGGGTCGTTGACTGGCCTGGCCTGGGACCGCCCGATTGTCAATCGGACCGAATACAGATCGTCTGGTCATTGTCCGGACAAGATGGGGACCGTCGGGGCATTGATTGGACAGAATGAGGTCCGTCGGGTGGTTGACCAGATAGGATGAGGACCGTCTGGTCGTTGATCGGACCGGACCAAGACCGCCGAGTCGTTGAACAGACGAGATCGGATCGGACCGGACATGGACCGTCGGGTCATCGTGGACCGGACTGGACGAGTATCGCTAGGTCGTCTACCGGACTGGACCGAGACTGTCAGGTCGTCAGCTGGGTTGGACCGGACCGGGATTGCTCGGCCGTCGACCGGACCGGACAGGGACCATATGGTCAGTGACCGGATCGGGCTGCCGTGTCGTTGACCGGACTAAAATTGACACCGAAGAAGGATCGGATCCACCACTAGACATAAGTATGCAAATTAATTAGAGCAGCACTGCAACATCGTGTTTTCCAAATTTAGAAAATTAGTAAAAATCACTTCTCTAATTCATTAAGGAAAATAGAGGTGTATCTCATTTTTTGGTTTTAGAAAAGGATTTGGTAAACACTTTTTTCTGTTTTCCTTTCCTCAATTTTCCAACCATTTTTGTTGTTAAACACGTTTTATGTTTTCCTTTTTCCTATTTTCCACTTTTCTAAATCTTAATCCAGACCATGAGACCAAATGAAAGGAAGAAAAAGTTCCCGCGGTCCGCCTATCCCTCCGCACGGCCGCGGGCAGCACATCGGAAATCGGCGAGCCCGTGACTCCGAGTCGCAAGGTTGCAAAGACGCAGACGATGCAGAGAGCTAGAGATGCTCAGTCGGTGAGACGCTCAGCTAACCGCCGCCTCCGCTGCCTGCTACTCTGCCTTCTAATATGCTTGTGGAGACTGGACTTCTGGACCTTCTGCTTCTGCTGACTCCTAATCGCCTTAGGTAAGTCGTAACTACTTAAATTTTTATTTCAATTTTTATTCTAATTTTTTTGTTTGACCATTTTAGTGTTCCACTATTCAAGTGCCTCACTAATAGTCTAATACGGAGTATGAATTTGCAAAAACGAAAAATGTGAATTTTTGCTAAGATTTTTTGAATATGTAAATAATTTGTGTCATTGTGTGATTTGATTAGTGAAATCGAAAATTAGGATTGTGAATTTGTTAACGTATTACTAGTAATATTGATTTTTTTATTCAAAATAATATATTGATGATTTTGTAAATTTCTGTCAATTTAAGTAGGTATGGCTACCCAAATATACTTCCTAGATCTTCTTCTAAAAAGGCAAAAACAACTCCAAATATTTCTCCTGTTGAAAGAAGAATTTGTTTCTGATGTGCTTGAAATTGAGCTGGATTCCGGAAAACGAAAAAATACAAGTCATTGGCCATTTGAGAAAAGAGATTAAATTAGACTATCTTTTTGTATGTACTGCTTAAAAATATTGTTGTGAATTTAAACGGATTTTTATCACAATGTTCAAACAGTTTACAAGTTTAAATTTTTTACATAGTGTTTTAGTTTACATGTGAAATTTTTTAGCTTACAATCGCCCCCTAGTTTACAATAATTAAAATTTTGAATTTGACATTTGGATGCTGCAAGCAAATGCATGTGCTTCCATTGAGTTCTGTGTGAAAAACTAAAAAATTCCATCAACCTGTACAGATTTGCCTGATCATCTTATGTGTTTTGGGGTTTTCTCCATAGCTTTGTGCTCTCATTTTCTGTGTGATTCATTCCTTGGGATTTAATTTTGACCGACTTCAGATAAGAGTTATTCTGTATAATTAAGACGTATGGAATGCAGCCAAAGTATAACTAAATCAGATGATATCTCTCCAGCATTGCCCCACATCTCCTAACTCGGCTTCCTTCTATCTTCTTGCACTTTTTATTGGGGATTATTGGAAGCCCAGTTAAGCTGTTGAGACTTAAAAGAAAAGATTTCAAATCTCTATAACACATTAATATGGAGTCCTAAATTAGCCAAATAGTAATTCTATGTTGATTGAGGCACATTACAAGCATTCAGGCAGGAAGTTAATTATATTGAAGTGAGTTTTTGGAACTCTAGCAGGATAAGATTGGTAAAATGACAAATAAGTCTTTAAAAGGGTTGAATGTCTTTTGATCACAATGTAAATGTTTTAACTTGTGAGTTTTTTTTTTTTAAAATAGGAAAAAAGAAAAAGGAACCTGTAATAAGGCACCGTAGATAATTTTTTTTTCTTGTTTTCCTTAGTTTTCTTTCAGGTGGGTGTGAACAACAAGAACAAATCATGCACAACAGTCACGTGGAACAAAGGAAGATCCACAAATGCAGACCACACTAGAACACAATTGGAATAGATATGGTATATGACACACACAATGAAAGCTGTTACAAACGTGAAGAAACATTATTTTCCATCTAGAACCTCCTCCACTTTTACCACACAACAACCTCTAAATCCCATTTTTTCTCGCTGCAATCCTCAAAATGTTGGCGAAACTCATTTCATATCTCTAATCCATTCATCCGAATCCACCCTTAAGCTCAAATCCATCCATGCCCAAGTCCTCCACCGCATCTGCCACAGTGCTGATTCAAGAATTACCACCCAGCTTATCTCCGCCTCTTGTCAGCACGGCTCCGTCAATTATGCCCTCTTAGTTTTCCAATCTTGTGATCAGAACTTGTTCCTTTTTAATGCAATGATCAGGGGACTTTGCAAAAATTCGTGTTTCGAGAGCTCCATCAGGCATTTTAAGCTCATGTTAACACTTGGTGTGCAACCTGACCGACTAACGCTTCCATTTGTGCTGAAATCGGTTATGGGTTTGGGTAAAAGAGAGTGGGGGGCTGTAGTTCATTGTGGAATATTCAAAATGGGTCTTGATTCTGACTTGTTTGTGAGGGTTTCTATGGTTGACATGTATGCCAAAATTGGGTTGTTGGATCCTGCCTTGCAGCTGTTCGACGAAAGTCTTGAGAGGAATAAGGTTGAGAGTGTGCTCTTATGGAATGTGGCAATTAATGGGTGTTGCAAGGGTGGGAAGGTAAGAAGGGCAGTTGAATTGTTCGAATCAATGCCAGAGAGGAACATTGGTTCTTGGAATAGCTTGATAGATGGCTTGATGAGAAATAGGGAACCCGATAAGGCACTCGAGCTTTTTGATGGGATGGAGGAGAAGAACGTGGTTTCATGGACTACTGTGATTTATGGGTTGATGCACAATGGGCTTCATGAGAAGGCTCTTCAGTTGTTCTTTAAGATGCTGGATAAAGGTGTCAAGCCAAATAATTTGACTGTCGTTTCTGCTCTCTCTGCGTGTGCGAAAATGGGGGCACTTGAAGCAGGGATAAAAATTCATAATGACATGTTGAACGGTGGGTTCAAGTTGAATACTGCCGCAGGAAATGCTTTGTTGGATATGTATGCAAAATCTGGGGATGTCGAGTCTGCTAGTCGGGTGTTTAAAGGAATGAAAGTGAAAGATATATGCACTTGGGGATCTATGATATGGGGTTTAGCAATCCATGGATGTGTTGATAAGGCTATTGAGTGCTTTGAAACAATGAACTTGTCAGGAATCATACCTGATGAGGCTGCCTTGGTAGCAGTTCTAACTGCTTGCTCACATGCCGGAAGGGTTGATCAGGGTCTTAAGATTTTTAATAGCATGAGAGCTAACAAGTACTCAGTGATGCCCAGCATGAAACATTACGCCGTGATAGTTGATCTATTTGGCAGGGCTGGCCAGCTGGATGAGGCTTTGAGATTTATTGAGAGCATGCCTATGGATCCTGACCACATTGTATGGGGGGCACTTTTTTGTGCTTGCAGTTTTCATAAGAACATTGAAATGGCACAATTTGCCACAGATAAACTCCTAAAGCTTGCGCCAAAGCATCCCGGGAGCTATGTCTTTCTTTCAAATGTTTATGCCGGTGCTGGGAGATGGAGTGATGTCGATAGAATAAGAACTGTGATGAAGAGTAAAGATGTAGGGAAAGATCCTGGATGGAGTTCAATTGAGTTGGATGGTAAAGTGCACACCTTTAAAGCTGGGGATCGTGCTCTCAGCCTACTAGCACAGGAGGAAATATATTCAAAATTGGAGGGAATAATGACTAACTTCTGTTACGATTGATGGTTCCTAATGCACAGCTTTGGCATGTCATCAGGGAGTACATTACCAATGCGGAGGTATGGATTTTGCTGGCATCTGTTCCTCTTGTGTTACTTTTCCTTCACTTTTCCTGAAAAGCATTAAAGTAAAAATATTAAATGAAACAAGGGATATGATCATTTTCAAAATTTTCTTGACATATTGCCATATTGGTCATCTATATGTTGCAGGGGAGGTAGTCTGAGTTATCCCATTTTTCTTGTAGTCTGAGTTGCCCGAATTGTATGACACTTTACGGTTTACGATGTTTGACCAACAATAAAGCAAACGGATCCCTTTCCGCACTCAAATTATTCTTAGAAAAAAAGAATTACATATTCAGAAACTACATTAAAAACTTTACAAAGTCGCAAAAACCAAATTCAAATTTGATAAAAATTTGATATATAAAGTAAGAGATTAAGAGTGATTTGTGTTGACCAAGTGAATAGGAAAAATATCTTACAAAATGGGACCGAGGGAGTAGTAAATACCTAGGGTTTTCTTAACCTCTGGCACTTTCCCATCTCATATCAACAGAATATACATTCTCTCCATCCCGCAGAAACTTCACTTATTCCTTACATGGAAGTTAAATATCACAAATACTCTTTTTTTGAGTAAACCTTTTCCATTTAAATATCATTCCATATAGTTTACATTCTCTCTCCATCATTTCAACTACTTTCTCTTATCTCATCTTTTGCTCAGTATATTATATTTCACCCTCTATCTTTTCATTTAAGCTACTTATCTTTATAAGCTTGTCTTACTTATCTTATAAGCTTGTCTAGTCTTTATATCATTCCATATTTATCTTTATCTTTTCCATTTTATCTTACTTTATCTTACTTTATCTTTTTATTTTTCATGTCTTTCATTCTCTTTTTGGTTCTGATATCATGGATCGATTCATGTTAGCCGACCCCAAAATCTTGTGGGAATAAGGCTTGGATGTTGTTGTATCTTTATAAGCTTGTCTAAACCTACAATATTATATTTTTGCCTTTTATCTTTTCATTTTACAGACTTCTTAGACTTCTCCTTGTAAGCTACTCGAGACATACTTTGAACTTTGTTATTGGTCAGAGGAAGTATGTTTCTAAGAAATAAATGTGTATATAAGCGAATAATTTTTTGACAGATCAAAGGCTATAAGAGCATCCCCAACGGGGATGTGGATTGTACCTCATTAAAAATGGACATGTCACTTATGCAAATAGTTTGTGAAGCTAATGTGGACACAAACATTTAAAATAATATTTCCGCTCCAATGCAATCACGTGTTTAAAAAAATTACTTTTCCTATGAAGTACTGCTTATAAATAGCCACAGTTTACTCGTTAGTATTACTTTTCTTCTACCGATCTTCTTCAAAACCATAACCTGAAAGTGCAGATGAAGGAAATATTAGTGATACCTGTAGAAGGAAAGCAAATCTTTCCTTGTAAGTTGTAACTATTAATTATGTAGATTTATAGAAAGAAAGTAAATCTGTTCTTATTACCAAATATTCTGCAGATCATATTCAAGATATCATTTGTAATTATACTAAATATTTAGTTACCTTAATTAGCTATTCATAAATTGTATATATGTAACCATTCTACAATCAATAAAATTATCTCTTCTCACTCTCTTATATGGTATCAGAGCTTCTGAGCTTTTACCAGTCTCGATCCTCCATGGCCAACGACGGAAAAAAGACTGCCCCTCCTGCTTTCCCTGACTTTATGAAGGACAGCCCCTGTATTCCTACTGCCATGAATTTTCCAGTAAAATTTGATGGCACAAACTACCTTGTTTGGCAGCGCCAAGCCCATGGTCTCTTTCGCGGCCTGCGTCTTCAGGGTCTTCTTGATGGATCAATAGATCTTTCTGCTACCGATCCCATCACTCTTCGTTGGTGCGATCAAGATGCTCTTCTCCAACAGGCAATGATTACATCGTTCAGTCCAGCAGTTCCCTCCTCTGTTTCCGCCGCCCGTACCTGCCATGACATTTGGGTCACTTTGGAGAACATCTATGCCAACTCTTCTCCAACCCGGTTTCTCAACCTCACTGAACGGCTCCAACATGCCCGAAAGAAACCGGAGCAACCGATATCGGAGTTTCTGCACCATCTCAATTCTCTGGTCAACAAATTGCGCAAACTTGACCAGGAAGTTTCCCCAAACAACTTCAAACTGTATGTCATCAATGGAATCCGGACCGGATTTCTGCGTGGTAGCCGAGATAAATGGACCTTTGAAGACCTTCATGAATATCTAGTGTCCTGCGAAGAAGGGACACTCTATCAGCAATCCACCCTTGGTCCGGTCACCGTGAATGCTGCCCTTCGTCATCCTGCAGCGTCCTGGTCCACTCCACCTCCATCTGGAGTATCGCTGACTAATTTTGCTCACTGGCAGTCCATGATGTTGCCTCAATCAGCACCGATGGCTGCCTATTTGCAGCCCTATCCCGTCCATGGATATGGGCCTCGTGGCTATCAACCCTCTCTCTTGGGTCCAATCCCGTCCACTGTTCCGCCTAATTACACTCCCTCTGGGCCTAACAGTGCTCAAGCTAATAAGCAAACAAAAAATAATAGCTCTGATACCATATAAGAGAGTGAGAAGAGATAATTTTATTGATTGTAAAATGGCGTCATCGCCACATAGTTGAAACCGGTATCACTCTTCTCTATCACACCTCTCTACCCACAAAATATTGGTCATACGCTCTCCAAACAGCAGTCTAATAATCAATAGGCACCCCACTCTTGCTCTCCATAGTATGTCGCCTTATGAGCTCCTTCACAAAGTCAAGCCAAATTATTCTAAACTTCGAACCTTTGGTTGTCTATGTTTTCCTTGGCTTCGTCCATACGCGTCTCATAAACTTGCTCCTCGGTCTCACACATGTGTTTTCTTAGGTTATTGTACCCAGAAAGATGCATACAAATGTCTTGACCTTAAAACTCAAAAAATTTATGTCTCTCGTGATGTTATATTTAATGAGTTGGTCTTCCCTCTTGCCACCACATCCCCAAGTCGTCCTTCCTACAAAGACTTGGTTTCTCCTTCTGATTTGTCCATAGATACTACTCCTTCTCAGTCAGCATCCTCCGATTCAACCTCGGTTCAGGCTCCCTCGTCAGGTATGTTCACAATCTCACCTAAGGCCATACCGAATAATCCTACTCCTATTGTACCATTTCCCTATCATTATTAGAGCCGTAAAAAAGCCCCTGCTATCGTGGCCCAACCACAGACAAATCAACCCAATTCAACCCCAATCAGTCCAAGCCGATCCAGCCCTGTCCAATCTACCTCTGAACCATGTCCTGAAATGCTGCAGAACCATGTTCCAATACCCGACTGGCCTGCTGACCAGCACCCTAACCCTTCCCAAAATCCAACTTAAGCTTCTCCTTGCCCATCTCCCTCTGCACAAACTATCCCAACTCCATCCTCCCATGTTAGGGAGCTCAATCTGCCCCTATCTCATACCCAACAGCCAACCAGGCTACATCCCATGACCACTAGGCTTCAATCCCAACTCCACCCTAAGCAAGTCAACCTTGCCACCAAGCATCCCCCTCTGCCTGACATAATTCCCTCATGTGCTTCTCAAGCTTTGCAGGTACCACACTGGAGGGCTGCTATGTACGAGGAGTTCAACGCTCTTATGGATAATGGAACTTTGGATTTGGTCCCGCCAGCTCCTAATATGAACATTGTTGGTTGTCGATGGGTATTTCGAGTTAAATATCACCCTACTGGTGCTATTGAGCGCTACAAAGCACGTCTAGTTGCTAAGGGTTTTCATCAGCGTCCTGGCGTTGATTTCTCTGAGACATTCAGTCCCGTTGTAAAACCAGTAACTATCCGGATTGTTCATGCTGTTGCCCTCTCTCGGGACTGGATGCTTAATCAGCTTGATGTGAACAACGCCTTTCTTCATGGACAGCTTTCGGAGGAGGTTTTTATGGCTCAACCTCCGGGTCTTGTTGACAAAACTCGTCCCGATTATGTGTGTCGTTTACGACGATTTATTTATGGGCTGAAGCAGGCTCCCCGTGTTTGGTATGAGTCATTGAGCACCTTCTTGCTAACTGGGTTTTCATCAGTCACATGCAGATGCTAGCCTCTTTACCTATAATTAGGGTGATCTTCTGATGTACATCCTTGTATATGTTAATGATATCATTATCACTCAAAGCTCACCTGCTGCCATTAGACAATCTATTCATACCATGGCTACAAAATTCAAATTAAAGGACTTGGGCTCATTACACTTTTTCCTTGGTGTTCAGATTCACCCTTGTGCTAATGGACTGATTTTAAGCCAGAGCCATTATATACATAACATCTTACTGGCTACGAAAATGCAGGATGCTAAACCTATCTCAACGCCCATGATGTCCTCATTTCAGCCGGTTTCAACCAGTCCTCCATTCACAGATCCTTCGCTTTTCCGGCACGTGATTGGCTCTCTCCAATATCTTCAATTAACTCGTCCTAACATTGCCTTTGCTGTTAACCGCCTAGCTCAACGAATGCAAGCACCCACAGAAGATGATTGGACTGCCCTAAAGAGAGTATTACGGTATCTCAAAGGTACCATCCAGCATGGTCTTTTTCTTCCAAAATCCGCTTCCCCTTTCTCTATCTGCTTACGGTGACACTGATTGGGCTGGTGATCACACAGATCGTTGTTCTACCCGTGCCTACCTGGTGTTTCTCGGGCCATGCTTGCTTTCTTGGAAGTCATTTAAACAAAGGACAGTTGCTCGGTCATCAACTAAAGCTGAGTATCGTGCACTAGCGTCAGCCGCAGCTGAGGTTGCCTGGGTTCAATCCCTCCTCTCAGAGCTTCGAATCTCAATTCCCGATCCTCCAACTCTTCTATGTGACAATGTTGGTGCTACTTACACCTGCGCAAACCCTGGTTTTCACTCCCGCATGAAACACCTCGCCATCGATTATCATTTTGTTCGGCAGCGTGTTCAGAAAGGATTGCTTTGCGTTCGCCATGTGCCTTCTGTTGATCA